TCATCATCACAAAGGATGTTTCAAGATCTGTCCTGAAGTACAATGCTGTCAGTGATAGGATAATATCCATACGCCTACAAGGAAGACCCGTTAATACGACTATTATTCAAATTTATGCACCAACTACCAAAGCCAAAGATGAGGAAATTGAAGACTTTTATCAACTTCTGCAGTCTGAAATTGACCAAATTTGCAATCAGGATGTGTTAATTATCATTGGTGACTGGAATCCAAAAGTTGGAAACAAAGAAGAATCACCGGTAGTTGAAAAATTTGGCTTTGGTGACAGGAATAATGCTGGAACTTGCATGATAGAATTTTGCAAGACCAATGACTTATTCATTGCAAACACTTTTTTTCAACAACACAAAGGATGGATGTACACGTGGAGTTCACCAGATGGAACACACAGGAATCATATTGACTACATCTGTGGCAAGAAGTGATGGAAAAGTTCAATATCTTCAGCCAAAACCAGACCAGGAGCTGATTATGGAACAGACCATCAACTGCTCATATGCAAGTTCAACTTGAAGTTAAAGATAATTAAAACAAGTCCGCAAGAGCCAAAATATGATCTTGAATATATCCCTCCTGAATTTAGAGACCATCTAAAGAATAGATTTGATGCATTGAACACTAATGACTGGAAACCAGATGAATTGTAGGATGACATCAAGAGCATCATCCATGAAGAAAGCAAGAGGTCACTAAAAAGACAACAAAAGAAGAGAAGACCAAAATGGATGACAGAAGAGACTCTGAAACTTGCCCTTGAGCAGAGAGTAGCTAAAGCAAATGGAAGAAATGACAAATAAAAGAATTGAACCAAAGATTTCAAAGAGCATCTTGAGAAGACAAAGCCAATTACTCTAATGAAATGTGCAAAGACCTGGAGTTAGAAAACCAAAAGGGAAGAACACACTCAGCATTTCTCAAACTGAAAGAATTGAGGGAAAAATTTAAGCCTCGGGTCTCAACATTGAAAGATTGTAAGGGAAAAAAAACATTGAATGATGCAGGGAACATCAAAAGAAGATGGAAGGAATACACAGAGTCACTGTACCGAAAAGAACTGGTTGATCTTCATCCATTTCAGGAGGTGGCATATGATCTAGAACCAGTGGTACTGAAGGAAGAAGTCAAAGCTGCAATGAAGGAATTGGCAAAAAACAAGACTCCGGGAATTGACGGAATACCCATTGAGATATTTCAACAAACAGATGCCGCACTGGAGGCACTCACTTGGTTATGCCAAGAGATTTGGAAGACAGCTACCTGGCCAACTGACTGGAAGAGATCCATATTTGTACCCATTCCAAAGAAAGGTGATCCCACAGAATGTGGAAATTATAGAACAATATCATTAATATTGCACACAAGTAAGATCTTACTGAAAATAATTCAAAAACAGTTGCAGCAGTATATTGACAGAGAACTTCCAGAGGTGCAAGCTAGATTCAGAAGAGGACGTGGAATAAGGGATATCATAGCTTCTGTCAGATGGATCTTGGCTCAAGGCAAAGATGCCAGAAAGATGTTTACTTGTGCTTTATTGACTATGCAAAGGCATTTGATTGTGTGGATCATGGCAAATTATGGATAACATTGAGAAGAATGGGAATTCCCGAACATTTGATTGTACTCATGAGGAACCTGTACCTTGACAAGGAGGCTGTCGTTTGAATGGAACAAGGGGACACTGCATGGTTTAAAATCAGGAAGGGAATGTTTCAGGGTTGTGTCCTTTCCCCATACTTATTCAATCTATATGTTGAGCAAATAATCCAAGAAGCTGTACTACATGAAGAAAAACGTGGCATCAGGATTGGAGGAAGAATCATTAACAACCTGAGATATGCTAATGATACAACTTTGCTTGCTGAAAGTCAGGATGACTTGAGACACTTACTGATGAAGATTGAGGAACACAGTCTGCAGTATGGATTACATCTCAATATAAAGAAGACAAAAATCCTTGCAACTGGACCAATAAACAGCATCACGATAAATGGAGAAAAGATTGAGGTTGTCAAAGAATTCATATTGCTTGGTTGTACAGTCGAGGCCAATGGAAGCAGCAGTCAGGACATTAGATGATGTGTAGCACTGGGTAGGTCAGCTGTGAAGGAACTCTTTCAAGTGCTGAGGAACAAGGATATCTCCTTGAGGACTAAAGTGCTCCTGACACAGGCCATGATATTTCCAATCACTTGTATGCATGTGAGAGCTGGACAATGGATAAGGAAGACCAAAGAAGAGTTGATGTTTTTGAGTTGTGGTGCTGGCTAAGAATGCTGAGGGTACCATGGACTGCCAAAAGAACTAACAGATCTGTCCTGGAGGAAGTGCAGCCAAGATGCTCCTTGGAAGTGAGGATGGCCAGACTTCGTCTCACGTACTTAGGTCCTGTCAGAGGGGACCATTCCCTGGAGAAGGATGTCATGCTTGGTAAGGTGGAGGGTCAATGAAGGAGGGGAAGGCCTTCAACGAGATGGATTGACACGGTGGCTGTGACAATGGGCTCAAGTATAGCAATGATCATGGAGCTGGCTTGGGATCAGGCTATGTTTCATTCAGCTGTGCATGAGGTCACTATGAGTTGGAAGCGACTCAACGGCACCTAACAACAACAACATATGATCATCTCAGGAGGTGCAGAAAATTTATTTGAGAAAATACAATTGCCCAGAGCTTCTTAAAAGAAACAAGACTCACTATTTTACTGTATAATTTTTTCTGAATTCCTCTTTAAAGACGAGGAAGCATAGATAGTAGCTCCAAAAAGAGATTAAACCCCTCCCACTCCAACATAGAGAGTACTTAGTAGGGGATTCTGGCTCAAACTAAGGAACAGAGAGTGCCTTACAGAAATATCATTCATTTTAGCAAATTCAGAAAGGCACAAATATTCTTTGAACCCATGTTAACAGTTGAAGAAACAGATGCAGAGAAGGGGAATACCTCAGGTAACAATGAATCAAGCTACCATATATCATGCATGAGTGAAACACTCACAAACTGATTGCCATTGACTGCTGCCTCTCTTGGTTGGGAAATCATAGGGACCATAGCACAATGCTTCTATTTGGACTTCCTGAATGCAGCCATGGGCTCACTTAAGGCTGCTGGACATGTGGTTGATGCCCAGAACAGCATTTTAAAAAGTTTCCATCTAGTCTCCAACTCATGGTAACCCCATTTGTGTCATAGTAGAGTAATGTTCCATATAATTTTTAATGACTGAATTTTTCAAAGTAGATAATCAGGC